ATGATGTCTGTCGGTGGGAGGGCGTTGCAGGTGCACATCTGCACTGAAACCCAGCAAATGGCACCTCCATAAAAATTGGGGGGAAAATAAATAACGAGGAAATACAGATGGATCTGTGTCTGGATCCTCGTGGTGAGGCCCCGGGGAGGTTCATGGTCACAGGGCAGTCATCTTCCTTGTGGGGAAACAGGCTCGAAGGGTAACACAGCTCAGATATGCCGGTGGCCTGGAATCACCCAAGGCACATAGGGGCTGGAACCATCCAGAAACCCCTGCCAAGTGCTGTGCTGATTCACTCAGCCATTGATCGTTCAACCTCTATCTGAATCTCACTCAACTTCTCTTTGCCCTCACGGACCTTGTGGTCCTGTCCCATAGGGGCCACTGGGCACACATGGCCATTTACATTTAAGCTGATTAAAATGAAGAGGGACGCCTGGGTGGCTCAGTTGGTTGGGCAGCTGCCTTTGGCTCAGGTCATGATCCCAGTGTCCTGGCATCGAGTCCCACATCGGGCTCCTTGCTCAGCAGGGAGCCTGCTTCTCCCTCTGCCTCTGCCTGCCATTCTGTCTGCCTGTGCTTGCTCTCTCTCCCTCTCTCTCTCTCTGACAAATAAATAAATAAAAAATCTTTAAAAAATAAAATAAAATAAAATAAAATGAAGAATTCAGGAGCGCTTGGCTGGCTCTGTGGGTAGAGCATATGACTCTCCATCTCGTGGTTCTAAGTTCAAGCCCCACACTGGGTGTAGAGATTACTTAAAAATAAAATACTACAAAAAAATGGAGAGTTTTTTTTTTACACCTGAAACTAATGGAACACTGTGTGTCAACTATACTCAATACAAAAAATACTACTAGTCTTTAATTTTTAAAGGTTTTTTTTTTTTTTAGATTTTATTTATTTACTTGACTCACAAGTAGGCAGAGAGGCAGGCAGGGTCGGGGGAAGCAGGCTTCCCGCTGAGCAGAAAGTCTGACGTGGGGCTCGATCCCAGGACCCCGAGATCATGACCTGAGCCAAAGGCAGAGGCCCAACCCACTGAGCCACCCAGGTACCCCAATAATCTTTAATTTTTAGAGCAGTTTTAGGTTCACAACAAAATTGAGAAGAAGGTACAGAGATTTCACATGTGCCCCCTGCCCCCATGTGCCCAGTCTCCCCCACCATCAGCGTCCCCCACCAGAGTGATGCATTTGTCACCACTGATGAAATCTACACCCACACATCATTGTCACCCAGAATCCATAGTTTATATTAGGGTTCTCTCCTGGTGCTTACATTATGGGTTTGGTGGTTTTTGGTGCTTTCATTTATTAATTTTTTTAAGTAGCGTCCACACTGGAGCCCAATGCCGGGCTTGAACTCACAACCCTGAGATCAAGACCTGAGCTGAAATCAGGAGTTGGACCCTTAATCGACTGAGCCACCCTGGTACCCTCGGGTTTGGTGTTTTCACTGCATGGGTTTGGACATGCACCCATCATGGTAATATCATACAGAGTAGTTTCACTGCCTAAAATCCTCTGTGCTCCAGCTGGTCATCTCTCCCCTTCCCTGACTCCCGGAAAGCACTGATTCTTTGCGTCTCTCCAGAGTTCTGCCTTCTCCAAAATGCATAGTTGGAAGCATCCCATAGGCAGCACTTTTCAGACTGGCTTCTTTCACTTAGTAACATGCACTTAAGTTTCCTCCATGTCTTTTCATGGTTTGATAGATCACTTATTTTTAGTGCTGAGTAATTTTCCACTGTCTGGGGGGGCCTGGCTGGCTCAGTCAGCGGAGCGTGAGACTCTCGATCTGGGGTTTATGGGTTTGAGCCCCATGTTGGGTGTAGAGATTGTTTAAAAATAAAATCTAAAAAAAAAAAAATTCCATTGTCTTGATGGACTGCAGTTTAACGTATCCATCCCTTACCAAAGGCCATTGTGGTTGTTTCTAAGTTTTGGCAATTATGAATAAAGCTGCAATAAACATGTGTGTGCTGGTTTCCTCTGTGAAAGTCACTTTTTAAAAATTTTTTAATTTTTTATTTATTTTTTAGAGATTTTATTTATTTGACAGACCGAGATCACAAGTAGGCAGAGAGGCAGGCAGAGAGAGAGGAGGAAGCAGGCTCCCTGATGAGCAGAGAGCCTGATGCAGGGCTAGATCCCAGGACCCTGGGATCATGACCTGAGCCGAAGGCAGAGGCTTTAACCCACTGAACCACCCAGGCGCCCCTGAAAGGCACTTTTCACCTCTACGCAGACAGCTTTAAAAGGTCATTCTGGGGGCACCTGGGGAGCTCAGTCGGTTAAGCGTCTGACTTCAGCTCAGGTCATGATCTTGAGGGTCCTGGGATCAAGCCCTGTGTGGAGCTTCACATTGGGCTCTGTGCTCAGGGGAGAGTCCACGTCTCCCTCTCCTTCTCCCCTACATCCCGACTTGTGCTCTCTCTCGCTCTTTTGCAAATAAAATCTTTAAAATAAAAGGTCATTCTCGCTGCAGGGGGAGGAGCTTAGGGAAGGTATGGCTCCTTTAAAAACTGTTCTGGTGAGATCAGGTCTCTGCAGTAGACAGTGTGGGCTCCAACCCCAGTTTTGCTTCTCATTCGGACCTGGGGGGGGGCGGGGGAGATAACAGAGATCACCACCTTCCCTGCATCCTTCCCAGCCTCCACTCCAGATATTTTGGGGAACCCACGGCTGGGAGATCAGACGTGGCTCAGGCCAGTCAGCACCGCAGAGGTGGGCTCTGGGAGCAGGAGTCACTGAGAGTGCTGTGACAAAGTGTCCCCCAAGCCTGGAAACCACCCCTGAGTGGGTCAGCACAGCGAGGTATTGGAACTGACTCCCCACCTCGGTTGCCTGGAGCCCACACTTGGCCGTTTCCAACTAAATGCTCCTCAGAACTCAGCGCCTGGGAAATGCAGGACTCCCAGTAGTTAGAGTTTGTGAATCGCTCCTGTGTCAGACCCTTAGGGGCTCAGCCCGGGTAATCATTTAGTTGACAGGGGTTTATCGAGGATCTGTTATTGTCAGGCTCTGTTCTAGTGGAGGGTGCGGTGTCTAAACGTGGCGTCTCTCCCTGATCTGTTGGGGGCCTCCAGATGTGGGGCGAAGATCGCATGGAAGCCGGCGGCATGGGCGGTGAAAGAATTCACCCGAGGCCGAACACAGGAGACAGAAGTTTATTGAATACACCGGCAAGGGAGTGGCAGGCAAGACAGCAAAGCAGAGACCATCTGCCAGGAGGCAGTGGGTGGGGGCTGTTTTTAAAGGGGGAAGGTGCAGAGGAATGGCGACGTAGGGCCTTTTCCCTTTTTTGGTAACTGTGCCCGGTTGTAAGTAGACCATTGGAGAGTTAGGGCCTGTGGATAGTTTGAGGTGGGCCATGTGTTGGGCCTGTCTGAATTCAGCCCAGGGGCTCGCTGTGGGCCCTTTCTACATGCCACCGCTCAGGCCTGTTCGCTGAACAGTGGCCTCTACCCCGGGGGACAGAAAGTAAACACCTCCACCACAATGAAAAACATACCTGATTACAGATTGTAGGGGAAAAGGAAGGAGGAATGGGCCAGGAGTTAGGACGGGAGGAGAAACATCAGCCTCGGAAACTGCTGATGCCTGCCCAGGTCATAGTTCTGCCTGAAGTTGTGTATTTAACTGCGGACTATACCACGAACTCTTTGAGGTGAGGACTGTGCCTGCCCCCAGGACGGTCCACCCACAGAAGGAGCTCATCAAAGGTCTCTTGATAGGAACAGGCTCAACCCAGTGGGGTGGGAGGTAAATGAGGCCTGGGGGAGAGTGTATGAAACCTGAAGTACTAGGTTGTACAAGTGTACCCCAAAGATTCCTGTCCGCCCAGAACCTCAGAATACGGCCTTATTTGGAAACGAGCTCTGTGCATAGGTCCCCAGTTAAGGTCGTGCGGTGTCTTTATAAGAAAGGATACATGGCCTTGGGCACGCACACACACATACACACACACAGAAAGGAAGATGGCCCTGCAAAGACAGGCAGAACTTGGGAGTAACGCCCCTGAAAGTCAAGGGCCTCCAAAGATGCTGGCCGCCACCCAGAGCTAGGGAGAAGCCAGAAGAGATGCTTCCAGCAGTTGGAGCACCGCCCAGTCGACATCTTCACTTCCTACCTACTTCGGGCCTCCACAACTGAGAGAATACATTTCTGTGGTTTAAGATCCCCCAGGTTGTGGTACTTCGTCCCATCAGCTGCAAGAAACCTATACACGCTCAGGGTCACCCCACAGTGTTCCCCACGGATTTTTCTTCGTAAATGGTTTTTACGTGCAAAGCGTTACGGGTGAGTGCACATCATTCACACGTTCATCGACCCAGCAAGCATTTATTCGGTGCCGATGACACGTCAGGGAGCATCCCCAGGTCCCGGCAATCCTGCCGCTGAGTACAGGGAGAGAACCACCAAACAACAAACAAAAGAGAAAAAAAAAAAAAAAAAGAAAAAAAGAAAAGGACACAGTAGGTCAGACAGTGCGTAGAGCTATGGAGAAAAATACAAGATAAGGGGTAAGTTTAGGGGTGGGTGTGGACGGCAGGGAGGAGGTGATGCCATTTGCCGCGGGGTGGTCCGACATGGGGTTCCTGCACACTTGCAGGCACGGAGACGTAAATGTCAAGGCCCGGAGGCAGCAAAGTGCTGCCGGCCAGGGGAGACCAGTGTGGCTGGAAAGGCGGAGGCAAGGAGCAGAGGAGGGGGAGCCCAGGTCAGAGAGGCTGCGGCGGAGGCAGCGGCGCCTGACCCCGTGCTCCCGAGCTCACCCCGCGCCCTAGCAAGGCCCCAAGACCCAGCGCCGCACCCAACATGGCGGCCGCGCACCGCACGCCGGCTGGCGAGCGGAACTGCGTACCGCAGGCGCCGGAAGTGGCGGGAGGCCCCGCCCCCTACCAGGGTCTCTGTGGAGCGGCGGACGCGCCGGCTTTGAGCATCCCTGGCGGGCCGTGGGGAGGCCCTGGGGCTGCGGCTCCGGCGGCCGCGGCCCCGCCCGCCTTCGACATGGCCAGCTCCGGAGAGGTACGGCCGGCGCCTCTCTCCGCTCTCCTTCCTGCCCCGCGGCCTTGGCTCCGCTCTGGCCTTCCCATCCCGCCCCGGTCCCCTTTGCGTCCTTTCCATCCAGCCCCCTGACCCGCTCCATCCTTCCCGTCCCGACCGCGACCCGGCCCACTGCTTCCCACCTTGACTTCGACCCCAACCCCAGTCGTGCTTGGCCCTTTCCTCCTGGAGCCTGGCGTCGGCCGGGTTTGGTCCTTCCTGACCCGACCCTTGGCCTCGGCCTCGGCCTCGCCGGTTCCTTCCCATCCTTAACCTGGCCTTGCCCCTTGCCCCTTGCCCCATCCTTGCGTCGTCCCGTCCCTCAGTCCCTCACCCTGTTGCGAATTCACAAGCTCTTTCCCTCTTGGGTTTTCCATCCCCGCAGTCGTGACCACCAGAGTTCTTCCCCGCCTCTGCGCCCCAGAGTTCCATGCTGCTGTAGGCCTCTCAAGCCATTTTCCTATGCCCCTGCACGTGGGCTCAGCCCTTGGAGCTGTGAGACGTTCATCTTCCATGTCCACTCTGCACCCCATCCTCTATCTCTGATTGCTCAGTTTCAGCCCACTTTTCTCTGCGCCTGCTTGTTGTGTGACTTGGGAGCTGATAGAGGAAAAGCTATTTTACCTGGGAGACTTTTGGCTTACCCCAGAATTCCTTTCCCCCATGCTCCACAAGTCTGGGACTGAGTCCCTGTAATGTGGTGCAAGGTATTTTATCTGCAGACCAGGGTATGTGGGATCTGGACTCTGATTAGCATCTTTTCATTTGTTGCTTCCTGCCTCTCTTTATGTGTACTTGTGGCTACCTGTGTGTCTGTTTATCATCTGGGACTTGGACCTTTGAGTGCACTGTTTTAGGGGCTTACCTGTGCTCTGGGGAACAGGAGTCAGAGGGTCAAGCGTTTTCTTCGAAACGTTTGGGGCCGAGGTTGTTGACAGTTCCTTTTCATTCAAAGTGAGTTTGGCTTAGAAGTGGCCCCTAGATTGAGGGGGAGGGTGTGGGACACACCTGCAGACTGGTGGTGGGATTGAAGGGTCAGAAAGCCACAGCTCTTAAAGGAATAGTTATGGAGTAGCCTGGCTGTGTTAGCAAATTACAAGTGTGTACTTGCGGGAGCTGGGGGCGCTGGTACCTTGTTCTTACGGGGTCCTGGCACAAAGGGGCCTCTGTTCCTTCACACATATGAGTGACCTGGCCAGTGAGGCCTCTTATTACTTGGTGGACGTCTCGTTCTACCCTGGATGTGGAGATCAAGGTCCCTTGTGCGATGTTCTATTTATTATTTATTGATATATAGCTTGCACGCCGTGAAATTCACCGTTTTGGTTTCTTTTTTTTTTTTTTTTTAAGATTTCATTTTTTTATTTGACAGAGAGAGACAGCGAGAGCAGGAACACAAGCAGGGCGCCTGGGAGAGGGAAAGCAGGCTTTCCACCGAGCAAGGAGCCCGATGCGGGGCTCAATCCCAGAACTCTGGGATCATGACCTGACCTGAAGGCACAAGCCCAACGACTGAGCCACCCAGGCGCCCCAAAATTCACACTTTTAAAGTGTGTGTGTGTGTGTGTGTGTGTGTTTAAAGTAAGCTTTATGCCCAGTGTGAGGCTTAAACTCACAACCCTGAGATCAAGAGTTGGAGGCTCCATTGAACCAGTCAGATGCCCAAAGCACTTTTAAAAAATATATTTGCAAGGTTGTGCAACTCTCCCCACTACAGGATTCCAGAATGAGGTGGTCTTACTTTGAAAGTCATTACTGGCTTTAACACATGGACACTCAGGATTACTCCCGGAGTTTCTCATAGTGCTTCAAACGATTCTGAAGCAGCAGTCTGTTGACTCATCTGGTTCAGTGCTTCTTTCTCTTGGAAATTACAAAGTGATCCCTGTTCCAGAGCCGTACTTGGCCTAGGGAGGAGATAAGCAAGCAGGCAAACCGTGACAAATGAGGCTGGAGTGGGAGTGGGGTACCTGGTACAGCAGGGGAGGGGCAGGGTGAGGGTGAGTTAAGCCTGTCTGGCTGATGCTGGGAGGGCTTCATTGTGTTTGAGCCTTTGAGCCCAAGTTCTGAAAGTAGCAGTTTTCCTGTGTGGTGGCATGTCTGGTGGAGGGAACAGCTTGTGGTAGGGCTTGGAGGCATGAGGGAGGGCGTGTTCCAGAAATTACCACCTGGAGAAGCAGAGACCTAGGAAGCGGGCAGAGTGTGGGGTGGAAACCCATACAGTTGTGCTCCTCTTTTGACTGACCTTGTATTTTATAATGCCAAATATATTATGTATAACAATTTCACATCATGAAAGTGTGCTGTGTTGTACCCACTGCCCAGTTATTTAAGAAACATTTCTTTTCCATTTAATGTTTATTCTTTTTGTTTGTTTGTTTTTTTAAGTAAGCATTATGCCAGACATGGGGCTTGAACTTAGAACCCTGACATCAAGAGTTACATGCTCCACTGCTAGCCAGCCAGATTGTCCCCCCTCGCCCCTCACTCCCCAACCAATGCCCAGTTTTCACAGTTAACACGTGACCAATCTTGTTTCATCTCTGTCTCTCCCTTTGGCTCATTTACATCATTCCAGACATCTCATCAGTTGGTTTGTGAATTCTGTGGTTTCTTTGGGTGCCTGGTGGGTAAACATCTGAGAGGGGGGATTTTTTTTGGCAGATACTGAAGTTTCAATACCTAATTTTTCCTCTATCTTTCAGTTCTTAAAAAAAAAAATTGTGAGATGTTACATTCTGAAAAGTGCATTAAACTCTTTTTAACCCTTATGCTTCAAACCACACCTATAAGTGGTCATGATCTGGTTTTAAACATATGGTTCCCAGAGGTGCCAGAGAAAGACCACCTGTCCGTCCTCATCCCTGGACTGATTTCCACAGACCACGGGGGATGCCTGAACTGGATCTTTCAGGAAGCCCCAGCAGCCCTTTTCTTGTGGTGGGAAGGGCAGTTTAGCTGCTCAAGCCCAGCCAAAGGCTACTCAGGCTACTTACCTAATTTTTTTTTTTTCAAGCCCCAGTGTGGGGCTTGAACTCACGACCCCAAGATGGAGCGTCATGTGCTCCTTATCTAACGGTTTTGAGATAGAGAGTGGGTCTGCCATAGTTCCGCCGAGGCTGAAAACACATGGTTCCGAGAGGCAGAGGGAAGCGAGGGCGGTCATCTACGGGTGTGTGTGTGTGTGTGTGTGTGTGTGTGTGGAATTGTGCCTATTCTCTGGGCTACAGGTTTTGTTTCATTCCTTCCCAGGGACCATTCCTTGTTTGCTCTTGGCTTCTGCGGAGCTTCTGGCTTTCCTGGGGAAAAGATGTGTGTGTGGACTTAGAAACCACAGGTCCTTGGCTTGGAAAGCCTGGATTCCAGGCCGAAGACTTGACTCTTACAAACCCGGCAGCCCCCTCCCAGGATCGGCCTTTGGAGACCAGGGGCAGCCAGCTGTTCCTAAGTGCCTGCATTTGGGAGCAGAGAATGTGAGGAAAATCACCTTGTGGGGTGTGCTGAGACTGGACAGAAGGGGCTGGAACTGAGTTCCTGCCCCCCCCCTTTTTTTTTCCCTAAATGTGAGCTCCATGCCCAGTGTGGGGCTTGGGGTTTGAACTCACAACCCTGAGATCAGGAGTCACACGCTCTACTGTCTTAGTCAGACAGGTGCCCCTATAACTTCTGGGTAGGTTTTAAGAGAAATTCAGTATTAGTGATGTCCTGTGAGGCTGGAGCTTCTGACAGTGTTCTGCCCCATGTTTTGTTTTTTGTTTTTTTTTTTTTTAAAGATTTTATTTATTTGACAGACAGAGATCACAAGTAGTCAGAGAGGCAGGCAGAGAGAGAGGAGGAAGCAGGCTCCCCGCTGAGCAGAGAGCCCGATGCGGGGCTCGATCCCAGGACCCTGGGATCATGACCTGAGCCGAAGGCAGAGGCTTTAACCCACTGAGCCACCCAGGCGCCCCTGCCCCATGTTCTCATTGCTCCAAGAAGGCCTTCTTAACTTTGACGAACCTGCAGATAGGGGATGAGGACATCCCCTATCTAGCCTAGCCTCAGGCTGCTCCGAGGATTCAAGCCGTCCCTCCCTCTCTCCCCAAGCCCTCTCCCTGCCTGACTCCCCCCCCCCACCCCGCCTTGTTAGCTTTGCCTGATAAGGACCCTTCTGGTTGGAACCTCTCCCCACAGATGGAGTCCCTGGGTCTGGGGTGGGATCTGGGACTCTGATCCCCACGACTGGCTCTGGGAAGCACTGAGCTAAGGAAAGTCACAAATGGTGGAGAACGGTAGCCCCAGAATAGGGCACCCCCGAGCACTTGGACTTGGGGGCAGTTGCAGACCTCAGGAGTAGCGAGACAGGACTAAAGCCACCTCAGTTGGAAAGGGGAGCAGGGAGGGCTGCCTCTTGCAGAGAAGGGAACGTGGTCAGGGCCAGCACTGTTAAACAGGGGGACGTATCTGTGGCGACCCTCTCCCAGGCCTGGGGAGGGCTTGGCAGGCCTGGAGCTCGTCAGGACCGAGTAGAGGGGTGCCGCAGTCGGAGTGCCTGGGAAACCCCTGGAGGCTGCGTGGGGGGTGCGCAGTGGCTCTCCCGCCCTGGGGTTCATGGTTGCCATGGCAGCGGCAGGGCTTTCCAGGCCTCAGAGCTTCCATCCTTGCAAATATGTGCAGAAGAAAAGTCAGGCCAGAGGAGGAGGGCTCACAGACAGAACCGCTGCAAATGGCAGGAGAAATAATCCCGTTGCCGCCTCCTGGGAGTGGTCCGACAGGCACCCCCGCAGGACGGTTTGGGGGGGCTGGACCCCTTTCAGGGCGTGCTGGGAAGATACAGGGTTCCCTCCCCACCATGGGTTTCCCCTCAAGAGCCTCCAGTTACTTGGTCCTTGATTTGGGGATTTCATGTCCCACCAACCCGGGTGGAACCCCTCCCTCTCGGTTATACGCATCAACCCGGGAGTGGCGGAAGGCCCACGTTAGAGAAGAAAACCTTTTGCAGATAGCTACCAGAACAAACTGAAATGTGGGCACATCTCGTGGGAGATACCAACACAAGTTCCTAGCCAGAAAGTGTGATAAGGTGGGGCTCCGTGGCACGCTCCCTGTTAGCTAGTACCGATCTGAAGATGGAAAAACGTCATTAGCAGGTGCTGTTTCTTCTTCATAAGGACTTGATGGTCTCATTCTTTGACTTTTCTTGCCCTTAATGCCAGCGCTGGGAAGAGCTTCCCCCGCTGCTGGCTGAGGGCTGGGTGTCCATCACAGCAACCCCAAGAGGCGAAGATACTGTTGTCACCCCCGGTTCTTACTATTTCTTTTCTTTTCTTTTTTTAAAGATTTTATTTATTTGTTTGACAGACAGGGATCACAAGTAGGCAGAGAGGCAGGCAGAGGGTGGGGGGAAGCAGGCTCCCTGTTGAGCAGAGAGCCCGATGTGGGGCTCGAGCCCAGAACCCTGGAATCATGACCTGAGCCGAAGGCAGAGGCTTTAACCCACTGAGCCACCCAGGCCCCCCCTTTCTGTTTCTTGATAGAATTCTCCCACCTAAGCGTTTTTAAGAATCCAGAGTGACACTGGGACAGCGGGAGGATAGCAGCTTTCCCAAGCCGACAGCCTTGGCCGATGGTTGTAAGTTGAGCCTGAAACACGCCAGAGTTGATAGGAGCCCTTTAGTAGGAAAAAGTCCTTAAATTTGGAAAAGAATTGAAATTTCATTTTGAATCTCCTACTTTTGAAGAGAGACCTGGTGGGCAGATCTGAAAGGGGTTTCTTTTTTTTTTTTTTTTTTTTTTTTTTTTTAAAGATTTTATTTATTTATTTGTCAGAGAGAGAGAGAGGGAGAGAGCGAGCACAGGCAGACAGAATGGCAGGCAGAGGCAGAGGGAGAAGCAGGTTCCCTGACGAGCAAGGAGCCCGATGTGGGACTCGATCCCAGGACGCTGGGATCATGACCTGAGCCGAAGGCAGCCGCTCAACCAACTGAGCCACCCAGGCGTCCCCTGAAAGGGGTTTCTGAAGTATATCCTGGCTTCTTGCTCTGCGGTTAAGATTTTTGGGAAAAGCACCTTCTTTCCCACAGACTGTGGTGAGGGCTGCTCTTGGCATTTGTCCTTGGCCAAGGAGGCCAGGCTGAAGGCCACCGTCAGGGATCCCGTGGGAATTCGGTGTTGTCCTTATTTGCAGGACACATCCAACGATGACGACGTGCCCCCTGCGGCAGCCGCCATGGCGGCGGGCTCCCACCTTCTCGGCTTCTCGGACGAGATCCTGCTGCACATCCTGAGCCACGTGCCCAGCACAGACCTGGTTCTGAATGTTCGGCGCACCTGTCGGAAACTGGCGGCCCTGTGCTTGGACAAGAGCCTCACCCACACCGTGCTGCTGCAGAAGGACTATGAGGTGAGGTGTGGTCACGGGGGTGGGGACGGCCCATGTGGCCACCCAAGGACTAGCCAGGCAGTAGGGCGCCGCGTGGCTGGTGACAAAGTGGGCGGGCCCTCAGAGTCCTGACCGGCTCAGCCTCCGAGACACCCGAGGTGACGAAAGCTAGAGGTCGAGAGGTGCTGGAAGCGGGCTGCACAGCAGTGGGGACATGGGCCCGGTGGAGGCTGTGCTGGGAGAGAGCTGGACTTCCCGGTGGATGCCCAGGAGTAGGTTCTGGAACTTACTTGGTGGTGCAGGGTGGCCCCATCTTACCCCCCAGCAGCTGTGTGTGGGCCTTCAGCTGCCTTATACTCTCCAGGCCAGGCTTCTAAGTGTCTGCTCTTGTGATGGGCAGGACAGGTGTCACCTTGTGCTTTTTCCTGGCCTGGGTAGGGTGCTGGGGTCCCCAGGGTGCAGTTTCCATCCAGGGTTGGGCCGTTTGTTTATCTTCTTTCCAGAAGCCACTGCTAGGGCTTTTTTTTTGTGGAGTTCTAAGAGTCCTCTTGTATTTTGGATCCTTTGTCGGATACCTGTATTGTGAGTATCTTCTCTTGGAGTCTGTGGCTTGCCTTTCTTTTTCTTTTTTTTAAACAGAGTCTTTTTTTTTGTTTTGTTTTTAAAGATTTTATTTATTTATTCAACACAGAGAGATCACAAGTAGGCAGAGAGGCAGGCAGAGAGAGAGGAGGAAGCAGGCTCCCCGCTGTGCAGAGAGCCCGATGCGGGGCTCGATCCCAGGACCCGGGGACCATGACCTGAGCTGAAGGCAGAGGCTTAACCCACTGAGCCAGCCAGGCACCCCTGTCTTTTGAAGAGAATAAGCATTTAAGTTGAAGTCCAATTTATTGATTTTTTTTTGTGTGTGTGTGTTCTTGTTTTTTTTTTGTAATCTGTTGAAGGAAAGTATTAAACCTGAGCTTGTGCAGATCTCCTTCTTTCTCTTGTAGAAGTGTTATAGCTTTAGCTCTTATGGTAGGCGTGTAATCCCTGATGTGTTAAGTCTCTGTGTGGTGTGAGGTAAGGATCGAGGGTTCCTTCCTTTGTATATGGCTCTTCAGTTGTTCCAGCATCACTTACGGACAAGGTTGTCCTTCCCTCAATATTGCCTTGTGAATTTTTTAATGATGTGATTATATTTTAATTCCAGTATCGCTAACATACAGTGCTATGTTAGTTTCGGATATAGATCATTTGGTTCTCAGCACGAGTGCACTCCTCAGTCCCCATCCCCTCTTCTCCACTACCCACCACCCACTTCCCCTCAGTCACCATCACTTTGTTCTCTGTAGTTAAGTCTGTTTCTTGGTTTGTCTCTCCCTCTTCTTTACCTTTGCCCTTTTGTTTCTTAAATTCTTAAATGCCCTTAATTTCTTAAATACAGTATTTATCTTTCTCTGACTTGTTGCCCCTAACATTATACTCTCGAGCTCCATGCACGTTGTTGCAAATGGCAAGATTTCATTCTTTTTTATGATTGCCTTGAAACTTTTGTGGAAAAGTCAACTGACAACATATCTTAAAGCTAACAATAAAGATCTTGACTGGAACCTGCATTTTAGGAGGCTGTGGGAGGGATTCCTTGGTGAAGCTATGCATTTGAACCCTGGGTGAGGCCCCTCCAGAGCTTGGTTCTCTCGGTGAGAGCGGGCTGTGCTCCTCTCTGCTGGGGGAGTGTGGGTGTGCCTGGAGGCTGAGCTGACTCCCCAGAGCCAAGGTCAGGCTCCCTGCCTAGGAGGGTTCTTGACTGGAGAGGGAGGGGCAGGTGCCCCCAGCACAATGTCACAGCACCATGGATCAGGACCCCTGATGTGCGTGTCCTATGCCTGCGTGGCCATGGGTGCGTGAGTCTACCTTAGAGAAGTGACCGAGATGCACGGACATCGCGTGTGCGGGTGCTCGAGGCAGGGGTGCTGTTGAAGGCCTCCTTGGCGGCAGCGGCTGGGATGTCCTGCTGTTGGCCCCTGAGTTCCCTCACTAGATGTACCATGGCTTGCCTAACCAGATCACGGCAGGTGTTTGAGGCATATTTAATGATGTGAAAATGCATCGGGTTTCCAGGGCACGATTCCACTGTGTGATTCAGGAAACCTCACGTAACATAACATTTACCATGTCCGCCATTTTTAAGTACGTGCTGCTGTATGTTGTACAGTACGTCCATTTGTGGTGATGTGCCACCATCATCAGCATTCCTAGAACTTTTCCATCACCCTGAACAGAAAGTCTGGATCCCGAGAGCAGTAACTCCCTATTCCCCGTTTCCCCAGCCCCTAGTAACCTCGGTTCTGCTTTTTGCTTGTGAATGTGCCTCTTCTGGATAATCGTGTAAGTGGGGTCACACAACATGGGATCTTTTAGGACTGGCTTCTTTCCCCTTGTGCGACATCAAGGTTCACCCCCATGGCGTGTGTCGGAGCTTCGCTTCCGTCCGTGGCTACGTAGTCTTTCCTTGTATGTGCAGACCACGTTGTGCTTACCCATCTGTCTACTGGTGGACATTAGGTTGTTTCATCTGTGATTAGTGCTGCTGTGAACATTGGGGAGCATGGAGTGAGTCCCTCTTTTTCCCATTCCCTCGGGCACACGCCTAGGAGGGGAATTGCTGGGGCCCGTGGTCACTCTGTGTCCGCTTTTTGAGGAACCACCACACTTTTCCGCACCAGCTGCACCATGTTTAGGCTCCCGCCTAGCTGGGGACTGTGGGAGGTGAGCATGTGGGAGGGGAAGGAGAGGCCAGTCCTCCCCTCCAGTGTACCTCCTCCGCTGGAGTAGTGAACCCCTATGGGGCCCCTTGGGGCTTCCCGATTGTCGCAGGGGAGGGTGTGACCCGAGGACGAAGGAGAAGGAGTCGCTTGGGTGCCCTCGGCCCCTTTCCTTCGTTGACCACCCCCCGGCCTTTCCTGGGCCTTCCCTGTAGGCGAGTGAGGACAAGGTGAAGCAGCTGGTGAAGGAGATCGGCCGGGAGATCCAGCAGCTCGACATGGCCGGCTGCTACTGGCTGTCGGGCGCCACCATCGAGCATGTGGCCCGCTGCCGCAGCCTGGTGAAGGTGAACCTCTCAGGCTGCCACCTGACCTCCCTGCGCCTCTCCAAGATGCTCTCGGCCCTGCAGCAGCTGCGCTCCCTGGCCATCGACGTGAGCCCCGGCTTCGACGCCGGCCAGCTGAGCGGTGAGTGCAAGGCCACGCTGAGCCGCGTGCGGGAGCTCAAGCAGACGCTGTACACGCCGTCCTATGGCGTCGTGCCCTGCTGCACCAGCCTGGAGAAGCTGCTGCTCTACTTCGAGATCCTGGACCGCACGCGCGAGGGTGCCGTCCTGTCGGGCCAGCTGATGGTGGGCCAGAGCAACGTGCCGCACTACCAGAACCTACGTGTCTTCTACGCGCGCCTGGCGCCCGGCTACATCAACCAGGAGGTGGTGCGGCTCTACCTGGCTGTGCTCAGCGACCGCACGCCTGAGAACCTGCACGCCTTCCTCATCTCCGTGCCTGGCAGCTTCGCCGAGAGCGGGGCCACCAAGAACCTGCTGGACTCCATGGCCCGCAACGTGGCGCTGGACGCCCTGCAGCTGCCCCGGTCCTGGCTCAACGGCTCGGCCCTGCTGCAGCACTTGAAGTTCAACAACCCCTTCTACTTCAGCTTCAGCCGCTGCGCCCTGTCCGGCGGCCACCTGATCCAGCGCGTCATCGACGGCGGGAAGGAGCTGCGCAGCCTGGCGAGCCTCAACCTCAGCGGCTGTGTCCACTGCCTGTCGCCGGACTCCCTGCTCCGCAAGGCGGAGGACGATATCGACAGCAGCATCCTGGAGACGCTGGTGGCATCCTGCCGCAACCTGCGCCACCTCAACCTCTCGGCCGCCCACCACCACAGCTCCGAGGGCCCGGGCCGCCACCTGTGCCAGCTGCTGGCCCGACTGCGCCACCTGCGCTCCCTGTCCCTGCCTGTCTGCTCCGTCGCCGACTCGGCGCCGCGGGCCGACCGCGCTCCCGCCCAGCCCGCCATGCACGCCGTGCCCCGCGGCTTCGGCAAAAAGGTGCGCATCGGCGTGCCGTCCGGCCCCGGCCCCTTCCCGGGCCAGGCGGGCCCCCAGCCATCCTCCGTGTTCTGGTCCCTGCTGAAGAGCGTGCCCTTTCTGGAGCGCCTTGAGCTGATCGGGTCCAACTTCTCCTCCGCCATGCCGCGCAACGAGCCCGCCATCCGCAACTCCCTCCCGCCCTGCAGCCGGGCGCAGAGCGTTGGGGACTCGGAGGTGGCCGCCATCGGGCAGCTGGCCTTCCTGCGGCACCTGACGCTGGCGCAGCTGCCCAGCATCCTGACGGGCTCCGGGCTGCTCAGCATCGGCCTGCAGTGCCAGCAGCTGCAGTCCCTCTCGCTGGCCAACCTGGGCATGATGGGGAAGGTGGTCTACATGTCCGCCCTGTCGGACATGCTGAGACACTGCACGCGGCTGAAGGACCTCAGGTGAGAGGGCCCCGGCAGCTCCTGGGCGGTCTGCGCGTCCCTGGGAGGTGGGAGGGGCGGTGGGGGAGCGTGGGTGGCCCAGCCTCTCATTTGGTGGATGTTCGTGCAGCTGAGCCCGTCTGCCAGGGTGGCCTCTAGTGGCTGAGTGTCTGGGTGGGGCTGACAAGGGCCTCGCAGCAGGAGAACGGTCGGGGAAGTGGTGGTGGGGCTGAGCCCAGGGAGGGCAGGTGGGAGGCAGGAAGCGGGGCCTGACCGGGTCCTCATCGTGGCGGCTATGAGTGATCGCGATCACGCTAGAAGGTGTTGCTGTGTGTGCAGTCTTTCTCCGTCCCCATGACTGCCCCATGAGGTGGCCGCTCTTGTCCCTGTGCGGCAGAGCTGGTAAGTGGGGGGGGGGGGGGCGCCTGGGGGGCCAGTCTGGGGCTTTCTGTCCGACTTTGTGATTCTTGGAGCTACGAGGCCGTGAACTGGGAGACTTGAGGCAGAAGAGATCCTTGGATTCTGGGTAGGCAGCATGTACCACAGCCTGCATGGTCTTGTGAAAACATATGTCCCAAACCACCAGCGAGGTGGTTAGGGGAGCTCGGTGAGGTGAGAGGACTTCAGCTGGCAGAGGGCGTGGGCCAATTTCCGGTTGGGAATGGTACCCCCCTCCCCACTGACCAGCACCCCACCTGGGCAGGAGGGGCTGGGATGGAGGAGCTGGAGAGAGGGGTGTCAAAGTGGGGGCCACACACGGTTGGGAGGTGATGGTGGCCTGGAGCAAGAGGCAGGCTGATTGGAGAGAGAGGGGCGGAACCCATCCAGGCTATTGTCCTAAGAGCCCAGACACGAAATGGACTCCTACTGAATGGAGCTATGGAGTGAGGGGTGCTCTCAGGAGGACCTGGCATTTAAAGGGGAGGGCTCTGTTGACTGGAGACGTGTTTGAAAATCTGGACAGAGCTGATCTTGCAAAATTGCAGTTTCCCAGAAACTACTGGACAGGTATGGCGGCAGCGGGCCCCAGCTCTAGTAGGGCTTTAGGTTGGGGAGGGAGTGACAATGGGTGTAGGTCCGTTAGCTGGTCTCTCTGTCAGGCTGGAGCTATGGGGTGGGGGTGGGGGCAGCGCCAGGGGGCCCCGAGTCGTGTCCTCATCCCCATGATGGTTATTACATGCTTTGTGCCTTTGGTGAGGGCCAGGTGCTCAGCCAGCAGCTTTCGGGCCCCGTCTGCTTTAAACCTGGTGACAGCCCTTCATCGTTCCCATGTCACAGACGAGGTGGCGGAAGCTTGAGGGAGGAGCTGAGGTTCGCCTTGCTCAGTGTGACTCTGGAGCTTGACCTTGGCCCTGGAACCATACAAAAATGGAGACAGCTGTGTCTTTGCAGACCTCCACTCTCCCCTCAGAGGGTGTCGTGAGACAGGAAATGGACCAGATTTGAGCTGGAGCTGGCAGAGCGCTTTGCTGCTCACACTGGGGAGTGTTGCAGATCTCCACTGCACACTGCGTCTGCCCTGCGTGTGTTTCCCGGTCCAAGCACAATACAGACACTGCGGCTCCCTGAGGCCCTGCGGCTCCCTGAGGCCCTGCTCATTGGGGGTGAAAGGCCAAGGGTCTGACCCCAGCCTTCCACATGGTGGAGCAGGTGTTCTGCCATGTTGGATCTGCACGGCCTGGACCTGCAGCTTGGGACCTCGGCTGGAGTTTCCACAGAGCCCCGCATTTGGGACTTTTTATTATGCTATGTCCCGCGCGTTCTAGTTACACTTGGCTTTGAGAACCGTAATGCTGAGTTTTTAGAATCCCCTGGTTTGGAAACCTGAGTCAAAGTTAACTTCCTGTGAATGTTGTTGTCCAGTGTCCATGAGACACTGGAGCCGCGTGCGCTGGGCTCTGGCTGTGCCTCCCTGGCCACTTCGGAGCTTGCCTGGAGGTCGTACAAGAGGTCATGAGATGGTTAGGGATGCTCGATGGACAGAGTTGTTGTTCCCATTGTGGGGCCTTTGGGACCCTCTGTCCTGTCTTGGGTGGGCCGGACACTCCTGGCCGCTGGCTTCCCAAGGCTTGAGGGAGTGAGGACCGCAGGCCTGCTCTTTGCATTCTGACTCTCCCCCTCCCCCGCCACGTCCCTTTTACTGCCCGCATCGAGTCTTCTGTGTTAACTCTTTCCGGCTTGGGCACCGCTCCTGCCAGGGTGGGACGGAGGAGGGGCCCTGACCGCAGTGGGCAGCCGCCACCACTGCCTGCACAGGAAGGGCCTTTCCAACTTTTTTTTTTTTTAAGATTTTACCCATTTATTTGACAGACAGAGATCACAAGTAGGCAGAGAGAGAGGAGGAAGCAGGCTCCCCGCCGAGCAGAGAGCTCGATGCGGGGCTCGATCCCAGGACCCTGGGATCATGACCTGAGCAGAAGGCAGAGGCTTAACCCACTGAGCCACCCAGGCACCCCAAGGGGCCTTTCCAACTTCTGAGGCGCCCACATCTGCCTTCTTGCCTGCGTGTCTGTGACATCAGGCATCCACACCCTCTCTTTTCACTGGTTCTTCTCTGTCCTGCTCCTTGTCCCACCTTGCTTCTTCCCGTGCTATTGCGGTCACATCACTGGCCTTTCTGGAAGAAGCGGCGGTAGGGGGGTGGCCCATAGGCCACATGTCCCTGGGAGCTGCGGACGGATCCCTGTGTTTGACAACAGAAGGCCCCACAGGCCTGCGATCCTGCTGACCGAGGGAGTCTGTGATTAGGAATTGAATGTTCCTTAATGACAGGAGCCCAAGTAGAGCATTAGAGGTCAAATTTCACCAAATTCCAAGCCAGGGTATTTTCTGGATCTCTCATTTTTGCTGTCAGTGTTTTTTGCTTTCTTGCCAGCCCATTAAGCCTTGTACCTTTTCTGACTGGACTGTGGTCGCACAGTTTGGTCATCGTCCCGGAGTGTTGGGGAAAAACAGAAATCAATGAAGGTAAAATAAAGTAATACAGTCACGTAATTCAACAAGTCAGAGTAGTCGAAATCTCTCCCCCAAACACCTGCCTTGTGTCCAGAGCGTTCAGTGTCTGCTGCCTGCAGAGCCCCCTGGAGACGGCAGATGCTCCTGGCTGCCTGGGCTTACCGGCCGTCTTCTGGGGGTGAGGGGAGCGGGTGTGTCGTCTGAGCTCGTGTCTCCCCGCCCCCCCCGGTCCCCGTTCCCGTTCCTCCACCTGTAAGGTGGGGCTGGTAAGTCCAAAGGAATTTGTACCTGTAAGGCCTATGGAACAGGGCTTGGCACCTGCCGTCCCTGTGATGGTTCTTTCTCTGTGAACACCTGTCACACCGGGTTCTGTCTGTAAGGAGAGATCCTTGTCCCTGGGAAGCTGACATTCCAGTGGGGCAAGTGGGCCAACAGTGCACGGAGGAAAGAATATGGTTTATGAGTGAGTAAGGGAGGCTGGGGAGAAAGAAGCAGAGCGGTCTGAGGGTTGCTGGAGGCCGGGGGTGGGGTGGACGTCATGAAGGTGAGATTTGAGAAAAGATTTCACAAAGTTAGCAAAGTAGAACCTGGGAGGAACATTCCCAGCCAGGCAGGTGGAGCGGCACGAGCCGCTGGTGACCGGAAATCACAGGCAACTTATGTTTAAGTGAGTTAACATGAAACATGGTTGGGTATGTGGTTTCTCAGCGGTACGAGCCACAGTTCAGGTGCTCGGTGAGTGCACGTGCTCGTGGCTGCCGTGGTGGACAGGGCGTACATATGGAATGTTCCCGTCTGCACAGAAGGTTCTGTCGGACAGAGCCAAGTTCGTGCCAGGGCCCTGACATGGGCGGTACCGGCTGTTTCAGGAGCAGCCAGGGGCCCGGGTGGCTGGAGGGGAGCGGAAGAGCAGGTCACGCTGCTGTGTCCAGCTAGGGTGGGAGGCTGTGTCTGACACTCAGGGAGAGACCCGGAGTTGGCTGATTGATCGGATCCGTGGGGCAGGTGGGGGGTCAGGGTGAGTCCAGATGGTGCTGAGGCTTTTGGCCTGAGCAGCTGAGCTGATGGGGCTGCCATCAGCAGAGAGGGAGGCTGTGCAGCTCAGCTGCGCACATGTACGCCGGAGTGTGTGAGGCCATGGGCCCCAGCCTGGGCCTGGGGTCACTCAGCAACATTAGGAGGCCGTGGAAGAATCAGCAGTGCCGGCTGGGCGAGGGCAGGCGGGCAGGCGGGGAGCTGGCAGACAGAGCTGGGAGGCATCCCAGGAGCCACAGGGAAGGGCTGGGGGTGCCGACTACAGTTGGATTCTGCTGGTGGACTTGTCATGGCTGCCAGGTGCTTTTCCCACATGTAAGGTTTGACCCCTTTGACATTTTCAGCAACGCCAGGAGTAGAAGTATTGTTGTCCCATTTTGCAGATGAGGAAGGTGAGGCCCAGAGTGTTCAGGAGCTGGTCCGTGGGCCCCTGGAAGCACTTCCTGCCTCATGGGGCCATTGAGCATCCAACAGCGTAACACAGCAGCATTCAGCCGTCACCGAGTGGCTTCCGGGGCTGGCACGTGATCCTTGTGGCGAGGTCCTCCCCGGGAGCAGGGCTGAGCATGCATGGTGGGTTTTGTGGCTGGGGAGGCCCGCAGGACCCAGGATAAATGGGTTTTGTAGGTCAGCGCGAGAACTTGACTGCTGCGCATAATGGGCTCTCTGTGCACGCCGGCTGCTGAGAACCATGTCTGATCAGAGCTGGGTACTGCCTGTTCAGAACAAACATCCCTTTCTAAAAGGCGGCCAAATGGCCCTGTTCCTCTGGATTCCTGCCTTCTGCGGCAAGCCGAGCCCGGGAGGCTGGAGTGAATGGAGCAGGTGGTACTTGCCCACCTGCCGTGGGCAGGAGCCACAGAGAGGAAACGGTGCTCTGAGCCCAGGAGAGGCTGGCACGCTGCTTCTGGGGCTGGCTTCTGGGCAGCTCCTGCTCTTCCTGGTGGAAGGTCCCTGAGATGACAGCCCTTAGGGTCCCCAACCGGCCAGCTGCTGCCACTGCTGTCCCTATCAGTGACGCCCATCAATTCGAGCTTTGTGCCCGCTGGGACTCCTGGCCAGGAGCTGTGTCAGTGTAGCCAGGGCCTCTCCTGCAGGGAGGTGGGGCCGGAACACGTCGTTCCATGGCACACCTCGGCAGAGAGAGGATAACAAGCTGGACAGAGAAGGGCACCTTCTTTCCCAAGACTGATTAAGCCCTGACTCACGGGGGAGGGAGGGGAAAGCATTACCCTGAGTCACCCAGCGCTGCTCATGACCTCAGAACCAGGGCAGCGTCTGGGCGGAAGTGAGAGGGCCGGTTTGGAGCCAGGCCTTGGAGGCTGTCCCGAGACTGCCCTAGAGGCCTAGCTAGGTCCCTCTGGAGGTGGGGCGGGAAGATGAGGGGTGCTCCCTGAGCATCTTCCTGTGCCCACAGAACCTCGTGGAGACCAGGCTGCCTCTCGGGGAGCGGGCTCCAGAGGCCAGACCCTCACGGGTTGGAGGGTTGAGACATGGCTGGGAGGGAGCCAGGGCCAAGGGCCCCCCAAGGTGAAGGTGATTGTGATGGATCATTTCGTCATTCCCAGCCCCGCAGTGCTGGGAGCAGAGGGGAGGTTGGGATGTGTGGGCCCTGCCCGTCCAGGCAGCTGGTGGAGTGGACGGGCCTGCCCCCCTCCCAAACACCTGTTGTAGGCGGCTGCCTTCAGAGTGGGAGAGCCTGGAAGTGGTTGGCTAGTTGAAAACCATTTAAAAGGGTATGTGAACACAGCACATAGTAGCCCTGTGCTTACTGGGTTTGTAGCCAAGCTCTCCCAGTCACGTGGACCCGCAGCGCCACCTAGTGACCAGGGCGCCCCAGGCCTGTGCTTCCTTTCCGGCAGGTCGCCCCGGGGACCAGCCAGAGTCTGGACTTCCGCCCCTCCTGTATTCCCACTTTCAGGTCTGCAAAGGGATGCTTACCTTAGGACTTTTAAAAGAGTGATTTGTTTTTGAAAGAGATAATGAGGGATGCCTGGGTGACTCAGTCAGTTAAGGTGCTGCCTTCAGCTCAGGTCATGATTCCAGGGTCCTGGGATCCAGTCCTGCATCGGGCTCCTTGGTCAGCGGGGAGCCTGCTTCTCTCTCTGCCTCTGCTCGCCACTCTGCCTGCCTGTGCGCTCTCTGTCTCTCTGACAAATAAATAAATAAAATCTTTGAAAAAAAAAAAAAGTTCAAAAAGTTCAAACATTTTTGCAAGAGAAGTCAACTTTTCCGAAAATTCACATTCCTAGCTGGGAGGACATTTGCTTGCTGTCTGGGCCCTGTGTGACTTCGGTTGTCACCTGGCCCTCGGTTGGGGTGCATTCGGACAGCACCCAACCACCCTCGCATCTCTGAGGGGCGCTGGCTCTCTGAGTTCTTTCTTTAAAGATGGAGTTCTTTCAGCGGGGTCTCGGTGTCAGGCCGGGGCTCCACATCTCTGGAATGGGACACCTACTTGTGTTGCGTCTCTGCCGGCAGTGGCCTCTGGGGGGGTTCTCACCATAGGGTTGGTGCCCAGAACAGCCCCACCAGCGGCCTCCCTCCTTCCTCGCGCTTCCTGGGGCTCTTGTCATCCCTCACGTGTTCTGAGTCTCCGCTGATGGTGGGAGAGTAAACGTGAGGCTTTTGAAATCTTACCAGGAGGACCCACAGTTCCCCACCAGAATGTTAGTGTCAGGAGTTTACTAGAATCAATCTTTCTTTCTTTCTTTCTGGAGCTTACTAGAATTTCTTCCTTCCTTCCTTCCTTCTTTCCTCTTTCTTTCTTTCCTTCTTTTTTTTTTTTCCTTTCTTCTCTCTCTTTCATCTCCATAACCCATGCAGGGATTGAACACATGACCTGGAAATTGAGTCAGAAGTTCTGTTGACTGAGTCAGCCAGGTACTTCTCTACTTACATTTAATTAAAGCAAAATTAAGGGCCGCCTGGCTGGCTCATTTGGTAGAGCATGTGACTCTTGATCTTGGGGTTGTAAGTTTGAGCCCCAGGTTGGGCACAGAGAGTACTTAAAAAAAAGAATATAAAATAAGATTAAAAACAGTCTCACTGGGGCGCCTGGGTGGCTCAGTCATTAGGTATGTCTGTCTTTGGCTCAGGTCATGGTCCCAGGGTCCTGGGATCGAGCCCCGCATCTGGCTCCCTTGCTCAGTGGGCAGCCTGCTTCTCCCTCTGCTTGTGCTTTCTCTCCCTGTTGAATAAGTAAATAAAATATTAAAACACACACACACACACACACACACACACACAAAACCAGTCTTACTAGCCATATTTTAGTGAGTGGTGGCTCCCCTACTGGACAGCTCAGAATGGAACATTCCGTTGTTGGGGGACCTTCTGTCTGGTGGCTGCTCTAGTAGATGGCTGGCATTGGTCTTTCTTTCTCAAAGACCCCATTTTACTTACTTGTTTATTTAATTTTTTTTTTTAAAGATTTTATTTATTTATTTGACAGAGATCACAAGCAGGCAGAGAAACAGGCAGAAAGACAGAGGGGGAACCAGGCTCCCTGATGAGCAGAGAGCTGGATGTGGGGCTTGATCCCAGGACCCTGAGATCATGACCTGAGCCGAAGGCAGAGGCTTTAACCCACTGAGCCACCCAGGCACCCCTATTTATTAAATGCTTTATTTATTTTTAGAGAGAGCACGAGCAGGGAGAGGGGAGAGGGAGAGGAAAAAGAGAATCTCGAGCAGACTCTGCACTGAGCACGAAGCCTGATGTGGGGCTCAATCTCATGACCCTAAGATCATGACCTGAGCTAAAATCAAGAGTGAACGCTCAATGACTGAGCCACCCAGGTAGCCCTCAAAGACCCCATTTTAAAATCCTTTTTCCTTTGTCCTGTGACTTGTTAGTGTCCCCAGGTGTTTGGGTGACAGGGATCTAATGCATGACCCGTTTGGGCCTTGTTTGGCTTTGAGGACTGGGGGGCTACCTGCGGCCCTACAGCCAGTCCTGGTCAGATCAACGGCTCTCAGGATGTGGCTGGATTCAGAACATTTGGGGTCTCTCTCCCTGTGGGAGCTGGGACAGGACACTCTTTTCTCAGCGCAGACCTGCTGCCTTGTGGGTGTGGGTATTTCTTGCTCATTCTAGAAACTTCTCTTGTGAGCCCTGAGTTGTCCCCTGGCGATTTCCCCGCGTGTCCCTTTGATGCTGTGTTTTTGTAGGGCTGCCTTGTAAGGAACCAGCCCTTGGACTAGAGCCCCTCCAGTCTGGCATGATCTCATCCTAACGCCATTGCATCTGCAAAGACCCTGTTTCTAAGGAAGGTGTATTCACGGGTGCCAGGGGTTAGGACTGTCACATGTGGAGGTGGGGCACAACTCCCACCAGCTCCCCTCTCCTTTCTCCTAGTTCTTGGCGCTCCTCCTGGTAGCTCCTGGAATCCTGTTAGCTTCCCCCAGCCCATCTTTCTTCCACTGGCTCTCATTCTAGAGGGCTCCTGTGGCCTGTGGCCCAGTGTTCTGCCACCAATCCAGGCCTCTGCTGGTTCCACAGCTGTGTTCGCAGCTGGCACTGAGCTGCCCTGTCAGTTTTCCTCAGTGCCTCCGACAGTGCGTCCCCAACACATCGCTCTGCCCTTGGAACTGCTCTGTCCTCTAGGGTGTGCAGAAAGTTCTGGAAGGGTTTGGAGTATTGTCCTGCACTCCGTGTTCCCGGGTCCTGCTCTCGTCCCTGTGGCCGGAGAGTCAGTGCGGACTCTGGTGGTCCTTCCTGCCCATGCTGAGGCCCTGCCCGGCGCCCAGTGGGGCTCTTGCCGTCTCATCCTATCTGTGTCTCTAAAGCAGGTCTGACCTGGGTGGATTAGCAGTCTTTCTTTTGGCGTCCGCAGCTGAAGTCCTGGCTTTGTAGCTTGGCTCTTCTTACCCTGGCTCCCCTCTAGGGGATTGTGGATCTGCACTGTACTCCCCAGCCTTCTGCATGGCTGGAGCCGCCCCGCCTGGCTCAGGTGCCTCTCCCACCCCAGCCTCCAGATCCCCTCCCTGTCCCTTGGCGTTCCTTCGTGCATTGCTGGCGAGCAGTGTTGTGTGACAGGGACTGTATCTAAGTACGTCTCCCTGCCCAGCAGGTCAGCGTCTGAGGTGGGGGGACTGCTGAGCTGGCAGGGCAGCAAAGGTGGTGGCGTCTAGGGCCCGAGCAGTGACTTGGCTGGGGTCTCCGCAGTGGCTGGCTGCTCGCATTGGGCCTATAGGGTCTCCCCGTGACTTGGGATCTTCTGGGAAGACCCCGGGCTCTGAGTTCTCTAGCAGCCCCGCAGGGGGTTGTGGTGTAGTCCAGCGTGGGGACAGCTGGTTTAGCTTGGGTGGGGGGCCCTAGACCGAGAGGCCCCCACGGCAGGTGCGCCCGCCAGCAGCACAGAGCTCACTGTCCTCTCCCCCCGCAGGCTGGAGCAGCCCTACTTCAGCGCAAACGCCCAGTTCTTCCAGGCGCTCAGCCAGTGCTCCGCGCTACAGCGCCTGTGCCTGGTGTCCCGCAGCGGCACACTCCAGCCCGAGGCCGTGCTGGCCTTCATGGCCCGCTGCCTGCGTGTCGTCGTGTGCCACATGTTCACTGGGGAGTCCCTGGCCACCTGCAAGAACCTGCAGCAGTCCCTGCTCCGGAGGTGAGTGTCTGAGGGCGGGCCGGGCGGAGGGGGCGGGGGGCCGCCGGGTCGCTGGGGGCCAGCAGCTGGCTTCTTGGACATAAAGATGCCTGCAGAGATGGCGGGAGAACAGACAGGCTTCCTTTCCCCACGGGGCCTCAGCTCCCGGGCGCTCCCTCTGCCACACGCTGAATTTCTAGACAGTTGCAGCACAGAAGTGTTCTTTCCATCCCCGGCCTCCTGCGTGGAAGCTCCTTGTCCCCGCGGAACCATTCTCCGGATGTGGGGTATCGGAGCCGCTCAGCCGGCAGCCCCTCGCGGCCCCTCAGCCCCGTCCCTGGACCTTTCCTCTTCCAGGGTGTGATGCCGAACCGCTCCTCACACTCGTTGTCCCGTCTCCTTAGCCTTGTTCAGTCTGTGACAGTCCTCAGTGTTTCCTGGTCTTTCATGACCGTGACACTTGTGAAGAACGCTGGCCAGGTGTTGGTAGATTGTCTGTGACTTTGGACCAGAAGTCCACAGAGGTGACGCCGTGTCCTCAGTGTGCTGTGCCAGGAACATATGGTGTTGGCCCGTCTTCTCATGGGTGTCTGAGGGTTTCTTGACTGTAGTCGCATTATTCCCTTGTTTTTTTTCTTTGAAGATTTTATTTATGTATTTGTGAGAGAGAGAGAGTGTGAGCAGGAGGGAGAGAGAATCTGAAGCAGACTGACTCTCCACTGAGCGCAGAGCCTGAGGCTGGGCTCAGTCCCATGACTGCGAGATCATGACCAGAGCTGAAACTGAGAGTCGAACGCCCAACCTACTGAGCCACCTGCATGCCCCCCACCATCCCCTTTCTTTTTTTCTTTTTTAAATTTTTTTTCTAGATTTTATTTATTTATTTGACAGACAGAGATCACAAGCAGGCAGAGAGGCCGGCAGAGAGAGAGAGGGGGAAGCAGGCTCCCCTCCGAGCAGAGAGCCCGATGCGGGGCTTGATCCCAGGACCCTGAGACCATGACCTGAGCCGAAGGCAGAGGCTTAACCCACTGAGCCACCCAGGCGCTCCCATTATTCCCTTTCTAACTAATAGTCACCTTGTGGGAAGAAACTTTGAGAGTCTGCAAATACCCTGTTTTCTGTCAGAGTTTTGTCCACTGATTTTAGTGTCAATTGATGGAGCTTGCCAGTGACCGTTGTTACTTTGATATTTGGCTAATGACGATTTTCTGTTTCCTGTGTTCCTCCTAGATTTGTTCTGGGAACTGTGCTGTGAGAAGGAACCAGTCCCTTCTCCACATTTCCTTACTTAATATTTCTTGGTACCAGAATAGACTCATGGATATTTATCTTATTCAGTGGGTTTTCATCACCATCCCACTGTTCATGTGGCTGCACAGATTGTGCCAGATTTGGCCATGGGGGTGTTCTTTCAGACGGGGTCCTGTGCCCTTGGAACATGCCCCTTCTTTTTCTGAGCACTTCCTTTCTGGCACTACCAGACATTGCAGCCCCAGCCCTGGAAGCAACCATTTCTCCACAGAGCCTGGCTCCCTTTGTTGGAGGGCGGAATTAGAAACCAAGGTTGGCTTGTGGATGTGCTCACTGCTGCTGGGGTGTCGTCGCCTCCGGGCCCCCTTGTGGACAGAGTGGGAAATTCATCTACGGCTGTTCTCAATGCGTGATCGCACGCGCGTGCACACACACCCACACCCTCCCCCCCCCCCCCCCGTATTTCCATATTACCCATTTGCATCGACATTAAAAGCGAGTTCATACTGACACTTTGTATCCCAGGGTTCCTGCAGAACCCCCTCCTCCTGTCACGCTCCCCCCGTCGGTAAACAGCCCAGCTCTCACCACGTGCAGCGTGTTTGCGGTTCACTCCGTCCTAGTGTGCGCACGGAAGGCAGTTTTGGAAACAGCAGCTCACTGCCTAGAGGCTCGTATGTGTTCCTGCTCTCGTCCGATCCTCATGGTCCCCTGCCTTCCAGAGTTACTCAGGATCATTCTTTGCTTCCAGCCTCCTTCAGTGTGGTCCTGTTACTCATTTGTAACGCAGTCGGCTTTCTGTATCGCTGTGTTATGTCGCATTTGGCATTCACACCGTGTCCTGGTGGACTGTATTTGCCTGGGGTTTTGGTATGTGAGGCCTCGCTGTGGCTTGGAATGCATACTCTCTCCCCCTTGGAGAAGTGCCGCCCTGTGTCCTCTTCCCTCCACCTCACCACCAAGTCCCTGCAGACAGCTGGTCCTGTCACTGCTCAGTTACTCTTTCCGTATTTTTTTTGCACAAATGAACAGATAGTGTTTTCTCCTATCCCCTTCTTTTTTATATGTGCTTTGCTTTTTCCTTGATGTGTGTGTTGGAATTCAGTTCGTACCACTCATGGTTACTGCCCTGCATTCTTCTTTCATTGTGGTAAGATATACATCCTACAGTTTTCCCTTGTTACAGTGTGTAATTGTGTAGCCCGGGGCATCGCGCACGTGCACGCCATTGTGCAACCCCCCCGCCCCCAAGACTTCATCTTCCCAAACGGAGGCTCTGTCTGCTGAACTCTAACCTCCCGGACCCGGCCCGGACCTGGCTCCCACTCTCTGCTTTCTGTCTCTGTGAGTCTCACAACTCCAGGGACCTCGTGGACGTGGAACCTTAGCTCTGGCTTTTTCTGCCTTCCCTTAGAAATTTATTTTAAGAAGCTTAAAAAAATAGAAACAGAAGACGATCGTGTATTGATGGAAGTGTAGTTCCTCTGACTCGCTGAACCTACCAGCAAGAGTTTGCTGTTCCAATCCTGAAGGGCACACGAGGGGACGGGGCTTTGTATCTGTGCGTCCGTCACGCCCACAGTCGCATAACGCTGCACGTGGCTGTGTAGCCTGTGCTTTTCACCTGACGTGGATCTGAGCTCTTGTTGCTCTGTACCGGGACTGCTGAGGGCCGCGTGTGCTGATCCTCCCGGCAGGTTCGTCGCATTTTACGTGTCTGTGTGCTGACGGGTGTTCCACTTGTGTTCCGTGTTTCCTCTCTCTTCGTGAAGGTCCTTGTGCCCGCTCCCCCATGTGCGGTCTGCGCATGCCTCAAAGGGAGTGCGTTTAAGAAAACGCCAAGATGCTCTCCAAAGCCATTCTCCCAAGCCCTGCTTCCACTCACGGGCTGTGAGAGTCCCTGCCCCATGTCCTTGTCCCATTCCTCGATGTCATTAGATTTTCAGAACTTCCTGGTCTCCTGGGCGAGGACGGCCCTCTTGGTGTCCGCACTTGGTCTCGGCTGTTGCCAGCGAGCATGGTCTGTTGTGTTTAACACCAGGCCGTATCCTTGTCTGTGATCTGCTCTGCAGAACCCTTCCTTCTCTGTTGGATTTCTCTGGGGAGGGGAAGAAGAAAGCTCGGGGCTAGTGTGCCTTGGCTGTGGCTTCGGGTGGGGTGCTGAGTGCTGGGAGTCCGAGCTGCTGCTCCTAGTCAGGGGGCCCACCGTATCGGGGCTCCCGAAGCTACTGCTTTTCTCCTCTTGGTTTTTCCTGCCTGCTGTGTTCACTGTTGTTTCACATTGCTGTCACGAGTTCAGCGACCTCCTCCACGTCCCCTGTCTGCCCAGAGCTTCCTTTTAAACCTGCCACTTGTCTTTTACCCTCTCCTGAGAACGCAGGTATCAAAGCTGGTTGGTTTGTGTGCAAAATACGGCCACATGGGCTTTGAGTGTTGGCTCTGGGGAGCCTCCCCAGGGACCGCCACGTGTCATCTGAGTGCTTCGCTGCTCGTGCTGAAAGCTCAGAGAGCTCCTGTAAACCCAGGTCACACTGAGGGCTGAGTTAACTGAACAAGTGGCCAGATACGCGTTTGGCCAGGTGAGTATGTCCTGCCCCTCCCGCAGGAAGCGGTGAGCTTGGGTCAGCTGGAGGTCGGTGGGAAAGCAGTTGAGGGAGGTGTGTTCACAGTCTCCCCTCCGGTGGAAAACTCCGGATGCCATGGCCTGTGTGGCCTCTGTGCCTCTCTGCAGTGCTCCACAGGTCCTCTGGGTCCCCACTGGGCTGTGTGACGGCGGGGAGTGTCATGGGCAGATTCCTGGGATTCCTGAGCTCCCAGCTCCCACTGGGGAAGTCAGGCGAGGGGTGGAACTGAAGGCTCTGATGGTCAGTGTCAGATTCCTCACCTCTGTCTTGGCTGGACCTGAGACAGCTTCTCAGGCAGGAACCACCATGTGGCCCAAGGGGCTGTGGGCTGTCTGTGCAGCGAGCATAAGAAATTCCAAATCGGTAATCTCTGTCTTTCTCCTCTGGGTTGAAGTTCTTTGAGGTGCAAAGATTTCCCTTCCTTCCTTCCCTTTTTCTTTCTTCTTTCTTTTCTTCTCTTCTTTCTTTCTTTTTTTCTTTCTTTTATTCTTCTTCTTTCTTTCTTTTATTTCTTGAAGAGGAAGTTATTTTTTAATTTTGGGGATTTTTTTATGCATGTAACATAAACTTTCCCATTTTGACAATTTTCAAGTGTAGATTCATGACCCACTTTATTGTCCTTTATTCATAGATGCTGTATTTTGTTTTGTTTTGTTTTACACATCGAAGGTTTGTGACAACTCTGCACTGAAGAAGTGTAGTGTCGTTTCCCACCCCTTTCTTCATTGTGTGTCTCCGTGTCCATTTTGGCAGTTCTCGCGACGTTTCAGACTTCCTCATTGTCATGTTTGTTATGGTGACCCGTGGTCCGTGGTTACAACTGTGGATGCTCAGGCGAGGGTTAGTGTTGTTTAGCAATAAAGTATTATTTAACTAAGGCATGTAGATTGTAATAATGCTGGTCGCCAGCACAGAATAAGCGTAACTGTTCCATGCACCAGGGAACTGAGAGTCCGTGTGGCTCACTCTGTCACGGTGCTCACTGTAGCGTGGCATCAGGCATGGGGCCCGCAGTATCTCGGAGGCGTTTGTGTAGTGTCAGTGTTGTGTAGCCGTCAGCTCTGCACTTTCCCATCTTCCTAGACCGACGCTGTCCCCATCCCTCTCCTCTAGCCCCTGGGGGTTAGGGTCCCTAGCCTCTGT